CCTCTGCTGATTCTGCTTTGCTGCCTGATTTCCAGAGCTTTGCCCTGCACTGGCACTGAGTCACAGCTTGAGCTGAGCAGTGGTGCTTTGCATGCATTGCCAGCACTTTCACAGGGGAGCGCTCAGCTTGGGGGGGAAGGACAGAACGGGAAGGAGGGGCAAGGGGAAACTAACTGGGATTCAACCTGGAGGTGCAGGGGGGGGAACAAGGGGCATTTTTGCTGGCTTGAGCAGAAGGAGTGATAGTAAGAGTAGAGCTTGCGTGGGTATGGAGCAGGTTCCTGGTGAGATCAGCTTCCCTGGTCAAGAAGGGCCTTTTTAAAAAGTCAAAAGAGATAAGGAGAAGGGCTGGGGCTGGTGTGGTGAGAAGGTTTCTGATCCTGTGATCAGCTACGAGGAGCTGGCTGTGGAGAACCCTGGGGGCAGGTGCTCCATCAGCTGTGGCTTTGTGCAGCTCTCAGAACCGTGGTCCTGCTGGTGGCACTGGTGCTGGGATCTGGCAGCTGGGGTTTTCTGTGGTGGAGCTCAGTGAGTGGACTGTGGTGCCTTTTCACAAGGCCTGGTTGTGCTGCAAATGTCCAACCTTTACTTCTTGGAGCATTTCAGTGGCATGTGACCATCTGGCTCCTGATGTGAAAAGCTCTCCACAGCTATGACGACCTGTAGATCCAAAGCCAGCCCTTTGCACAAGTGTAGCAGGTGCAGGGACTGCCAGTCCTCTCCAGACTGTTTCTTCCAGCTGAAGTAGATCACATGCAGCTTTCCCACCCTTTACCAAGATAAAAAAAGTAGTCTCAACCCCCTGAGGCCTCGTGACCCTTTTGGTCCTAACCACAGGGTCTGCAGCACAATGTCTCTCCACACTGACTCCAAGTGCAATCAGATACTTGTGTTATTTACCCCTGAACAGGAGGTAAACATCTTTACATCATTGACATCTTTAGGCCATTTTGTGCTTTGTCCTGTATGGGCCTAAGGAGGTCATGGGAACTTGTGCCTCTGCCAGCAATGCACCAGACACACAACTTGGTAATGAACCTGATTCTGCTGGGACAAAACCAGTTTGAGAGCAGGGCCCAGTGCAGTCAGGGTATTTAGGGATGTGGCCACGGAAACACATGGCTCATTAGGTACCAAGACTTCATGCCAGAAACCTGGGGTCTTGCCTGTGGTCCAGGGAGTTAAGGAAGTCTGTGATTTGACCTCATGAACCTGATTCTGCTGGGACAAAACCAGTTTGAGAGCAGGGCCCAGTGCAGTCAGGGTATTTAGTGATGTGGCCACGGGAACACATGGCTCATTAGGTACCAAGAGTTCATGCCATGATGTGGTCTTGCCTGTGGTCCAGGGTGTTAAGGAATTCTGTGGTTTGACCTCCTACATCTTTCTGAAGGGAAGGGAATGGGGAATGTCCAGTTACATGCTGCCTGAAGCTTTGCTTTCAGTCTTTGCTAGTCTCTCTGCCCAAGCCTCCTGTGTGCATGGGGTTTTTTTTTCCTAATATATTGAATCTTTATTATTTTGAATGTCAGATCACAGCAATTTCTATGCCTTGCATGAGCAATACTGTGCCTTATGCTTCCATGAATGTAGCTAGCATGGGCTAGACTGCACTGCTTTTACACTGGCAGGAAAATGTGCCCCTCACCTTCTTTCTGTCTTACGTGCTTCACGAAGCCCCAGTCTGCATGCAAATGTGAAGAGCTGGACAGTTGTTATAAAAGGAACTGCAGCATTTTCCTGAAATTACCCTCAAGTTCTGCTTGTTCTTTTTGGTGTTGGAGGCCTCGAGAGCTGAAAGCACAGAGCAGTGCTGGAGTGCTTGCTTTGCTCCTGTGTGGCCTTGAGAGCCAGTGTGTGGGCTGGTGCTGGGCGTGGAGCTCTGGCAGGGGGGGCTTGGCTCCTTCTCCTGAGCCCCCTGCACTCTGCCCCTGCCACGGGGTCACTGCAGCTGAGCTGTCTGCCCTTCTGCCAGGGGGTGCAGCTTCGCCTCGCCTGGGAAGCTGGCTCGGTGCATGCAGAGGGCCTGTGGTGGGTGTGATGAGAGATGCTCAGATCTCTCAGATGAGAGAGAAGATGAGAGATTTGCCAGGTCCCCCTCAAACAGGACGTGTTTCCCTGGGTTGGGATGTGCATGGGGTGTGCATGGGCTGTGTGTACCCCCATGGCCGCCGTGGCAAGCGAACTCAGGTGGTGGGGGTCTCCTCAGGGGCAACGAGGTTGAACTCTGCCTGATAACCTGACAGTAGACAAATTTTGGTTGAGTAAAGTGTAAACTTATTGCTGGTCTGTGTATCAGCTTGATGATAGTTCTTTATTATGGCTTTCACTAACCAATCTGTAACTAACTGTGGTTGTTTGATTACAGAGGGAACATCCCCACGCTAAACAGGTATGGTACTTGTCATCTTTTAAAACTTGAAAAGACAGACTAGAAAGAAGTAGCCTAATACTTAATGTTTTAACATGTTTTGTTTTAGTGCCCTTACTTGGGAAGCTCTCAAACATAACTCTTCTTTTTTCTTCCCTTTTCCTCTCCCTTTGTCTAAAACATGTTTTCAGCTTTTCTTTACCTTTTAAAAGAGCTTTGCATGCAGCAATCTTTTAAATGAAATTTGCTGGGTGACCCAGCTCATCTGCAGTATGGTATACAGCACACTTCTAGCAGAGTGCTGGTCCTAGGGTCTCTTTTTTGGGAGGGGATCCCCAGCTGCTGACCCTCTGGCAGGGTGTCACAGTGAACAGGCAGTTACTCCTGGCCGATACCTGTTGCTACTCCAGTTTCTTGCCACTAGCTTAGAATTTGTCGAGGCTGTTTCACCTCCCTCACGCCATAGATGAATCTACATCTCCAACAGCTGACAGCATGTTTTGTTGTGTTTTGGATGCTAATTTTTCCTCCCATGTCTCAGTTGAAAAGTATTTCTTGTTTTAAATAATACATGAAAAATGTCTGCTGTCTTTTTGTTTAGTTACTGTTCTGTGGTACTTCTTGTATTAGCTGTAAGAAATGTACACCAAGGCATGTCCTGAAAAATTTTTCTCTTTCAGAACATGAATACCTATTATTTATTACTGCTTACAATCCTGTTTAGGGAAAAAAACAGTAAAAATGGGCTTGAAAGTCTCCTGGCTCTTAATCAGAGATAAATTATGGAAACATAGAGTGACTTTAAACATGGAGAGCTATTAATCAGACTGATGATACTTTAGACTTGTTAACAGTATACTTAGGTCCATATCAAGATGGTTTTCTGTACATGGAAAGAAAGGAACCTTAGTGAAGGTGGTAAGTGGCAGTGCCAGCAGTCCCCAGCCAGGACGTGTGCTCTGTGCCAGCCTCGGGGCCAGGCTGGTGCTTCAGCATCTTTTTGACTTTCCAGTTTATAAGTCAGACACGTGCTGTGCTGAATCAGCACCCTGATTTTATTTTTCCCAGTGCCTTCTGCCTCCTGTGGTGGCACCAGCTGGGGAGAGCAGGACCTTCACTTTGCTAACCTCTCCCTGTGCCAGTGCGAGGGCATGGCTCCGGCGTGGCAGCCTGCTGCCAGGGGCCAGCCTGGCATTTCTGGCTCTACAGAGCCAGCTTGAAGGTCTCCCCATGTAGGTCTCACCATCCTCAACAAGCAGGACCCTGTATGAATTCAGGTGACTCTGTAGCACAGGTCAGAAATTAGGAATAATGGTTGCAGAGAAGGCAATCCCCAAGTCTCATAGCTGGGGAAAGGATGTCTCATTAGTCGTACACTTTTCCCTCATTGTGGGAGAAACTTCCTCTGCTAGTCTTGACTGTAACATTGTGGGTCTTTAAAAAAAAATGTAAAAATAATTATAATAGCCCAAACTCTGAAATAACACAAATGATTTCACAGCTGGTGTGTGCTGCCATAGCAGCTGAACTGTGTGAGAACTCTGTGATGCTTTCATACATTCGGGGGGTTGCCCTCTGCAGGCAGGAGCACTGACCTTTGGTGAACAGTGCTCCTGCTTTCAGGAGAAGCCTCTTACCCAGTGCCTTCCTCCCAGCTTGTGGAAGTCTGTTCCAGTCCTCCTCACTTCAGTGAGGGATTGGTCCTGCCTGAGTGCTGTGTGCTGCAGAGCACAGTGCTTGAGCACAGTGCTCTGCCCCCCTTGCCCCTTAAGAGAAATGGATCCTGTGGCCAACTGCTTGTATTTAGCAGCTGCCACCTCTTAGCAATCCAAATTGAGCAAAATAGATGAGCAGGGGGAGAGTTGCAATGTGTTTGAAGTATGGATTACATCAGATGGAGGAGCATGTTAATTTGGTCAGCTGTTGAAGTGGAAGGCACTGTAACAGGGTTTTATTTAGGAATACTAGTGTAAGACCATAGGAAACCCTGTTGCCAGTAAAGGATTTGAGAGGTCACTGTACCACACTGCATTTGAGCAGCATAAATCATAGTATGACCAGAACTATTGTTGAAGCAATAATATAATATAATATAATATAATATAATATAATATACCTTGGTGTGCTTCAACTTAGTTTGTAAAAATTTGCTAAATCTTTTAAGTGTCAAAGCTTAGAATTATTGCTGTTTATCTCAGTATTCCACTTGTAAAGCAAAACATCCATACAGGAGGAAAAATACATTCAGCTTTGCTTAGTTATAATTTGCCTCAATGAACTCCTTAAGCAATACTTTAGGTTCTAAAGTCCTACAACATCATTTTATAGCTCTTGTAACTGTTCCACTACATTGGGATGACATCAAGGTAAGGGAATAAGTGGCACCAGAGGCATGCCAGCATTGCAGGGACTTTGGAGAGGACAGCCCAGCAGGCTTGGCATGCTGAGGAATCTGACAAGTCACACAGCAGTGCTGTTGGATAAACAGCCACGCTTCGAGTGCTTGAAGTGTGCACACATGCACAAATCTTTTCTCTGGGGCTATTCTTCTCTCCCTTGTCCTACTAACTGTGATCTTATTGAATTGCCATTTAGAATGTCCTTCTCTTCCAACCTCAATCACTATGGGATGGTCCACGTAGCTAGTGTGAGTGATGTCCTGCTAGACAATTCCTTCACGCCGCCGTGCCAGCGCATGGGTGGAATGGTCTCCTTCCGCACCTTCGAGGATTTTGTCAGGTATGTGGGAGAGGGTGAGGAGTGTCTGTGCTGCCAGCTTCTTAGGTGGGCCCAAATGGAACTGGACAAAACCTTTGCCTTGTCTAGAGTCGGGTTTAAATTGGTCCTGAGCTTGTTTGCCAGGTTTTTGGAGTTTCATCTGGCAGTATTTTTGGATCGCCGTGTCTGTCTCTTTGAGATACCTGAAAGTTTCAGACTGCTGCAAGAGCAGTTTGCAGCCAGGAGGATCAGCATCTTGAATTTCTGCTCATTTGGGGTCGTTTGCAAATGTGCTGATTTCTTCTAATGCTCTTGTTCACACGTATCTCTGCGGGAGGTTGTGTTCTTTACACTTCAGCCACGCTGGGTGGGGCAAAAGAAACCCAGCAGAGCCCACAGCAGTCGTGGGGCCCTGCAATCACAAATTTTCTGACAAATGTTAGAAGATCCAGGCTCTGCTTTGGTTTGAGGGGTGGACGAGGTATTGCCTCCTCATCTTTTGAGTTCCAGTCCTGCAAAGGGAAGGAGTCTTTTTCTCCCCTTCCCCCAGCTTAGCCAGATGATTTGTGGATTTTAGTGCAGTGTGCTCTCCCTGGGCTAGCAGCAGCCTGTTGGTGACTGATACTTCTCTGGTGTATTTCAGAATCTTTGATGAAGTGATGGGTTGCTTCTGCGACTCTCCTCCCCAGAGCCCAACCTTCCCTGAAGCTGGCCATGCTTCCCTCTATGATGAAGACAAGGTACGGCAGTTTTCTCTCTGGAGATCGCTCTCAGGCTGGGAATGGAGGGTGTGCAGAATGCCACAGTGACTGCAGGCCAGACACTTGTCACTGCTTCAGTGCTGGAAGGAGGAGTTAAGAGCTTTATGTATTTATATATGTGATTTGTTTGCTTGTTCCACAGCAGGTGATCCAAAGCAGGTGGCCATTTTCTGACTGTTCTGAAACTGCGGCTAAGTCTCTTACGCTCCGTGTGTACTCAGTCTGTAGCTTTTAACATCAGCAGAATTACTGGATCCACAGCAGTGTAACTGGGAGTTTAGACCTGTAATTAAGATTCCAGACCTGCTCTGTGCATCAAGGTGTTGAACTGTGTATTCAAGGCCTTTACCTTAGGTCAGACTTGCCTCATTTTCAGTCTTACACTCTTCCTAGTCACAATACGTTCTGACTCTTCCCTCTGTTCCACCTCTTAGAACTGTTTTTAGCAGGAAAAGATGAGAATTTTGTTGGGTTTTTTTTGCCTCTCAATGTGGAGAGCAGGTACAGAGCAAGCAGGTGGTTTATGGTCCTTAGTGGTAGAAGACCATTTTCCCTTAGAGACACAGGTAGCTGCTCCACTGCTCTGTTCTGGCCCCCAGCAGTGGGAAGCTCTGTTGGAACATCGTCTGTATCCAGACTCAGGCTTGGTTTTAAACCCATCCATTGGTCTCAATGTGTTTAAAGTACTGTAGCCTTGTTCCAGAATAACAGTCAACCTCAATGTCCTCAGATCTCTCTCTTTGCCTCCCCAAGGATAATTTCCTGTTCATCTTCAGTTTTTCACAGTTAACCACAGGCTCTTAAATGCAAAATGTGTCATTTCTCAGAGCTGTAATGTAATTGATGCTTCTACATTATTTCATTTTGTTGTTGCCTCTATACTTTGAATTTGCTAATTTCACTGCCTTTCTTGATGCCAAAGTCCTCTGATGTCCTTCTGGTAAAGAGAGGGCCTGACCCTCCATTCTTTCTGCATCCAAATGAAGCACACTTGAGTTAGCCAAGGCAGATGGGACTGTCAGAATTGGTTTCTCCAAAGGAAGCTCCTGTTTGTGGGCATTAACTCTTACATCTGTGAAACTGCAAATTTGAGCTGCTTGGTCAAAGATTTCCCTCATAGTTTTCCTTCATTTACAGCACGCTCTGCTGAGGTCACTTTTCCCTAGGGCATCTGAACTTCAGAGTTGTATTTGGGGAGCCTTGTTTGAGGCCTCACAGCTGTTAAGTTGTTAACTCTTTACTTATGGGGAATATTTCCTGTAAATTGCAGACTGCCCGTGAGGAGCCCATTCACATTCTGAATGTTGCTATTAAAACAGACAGCGACGTTGACGACGATGGGCTGGCAGCCATGTTCAGGGAGTTCACACAAAGCAAGGTAAGCTGCCTTGATTCTCTCTCTGGAACTGTGTGACTGTGCCTCTGGGGTTGGTTGGTTTGTTTGGGTTTGTTTCCAAAACAAATAAATGCAACAGTTACGTCCTTTATTTATCCCATCTCAAACCTTACCACTTTGGATGTAGCTGCATCTTTCTGAAGCCTCTAGGTCATTGTTTCTCTTTATAATGGATTATTAGCCATCAAGTCAGGACTTCTTCCTTTAATTTTTGATAGGGCAAAAGACTTTTAAGGTTTGAAACACATCAGGTCAATCTTCAGTATCTGTTGACAAAATGTGCTTTACCCCTCTCCCTGGTGGTAAAGTTGTTAGATGAGTAGCAGAGGTATGGAAAGTGACCTTAAAATGGCCTGTGTTCTCTGCATCACAATAGTCTGAATGCAGTTCAAATCTGTTCTTGCTGTTGGCATGTGGGAGCATGCATCTGGAATGGTATTTCTGGCACAAGGTGGAGCTGGTTTGGTATGTTCTGTTGAACTGTGCTTTGGGGTACCAGATGTTAGTCCTGTTAGCTGTGAGACAAAACATGAGTTGGAGACAGGCTCCTCGTGTTCACTGCTGGCACTTGCTCTTCTGGTTGGTGTAAGGAACTCCCCAGAGGGCTCGTGGGTGTGAATTCAGCCCTTCAGGCCCTGGGACCTGCTGCATCTGTGGTACCTGCAACACGGATGGGAGGACTGAGGGAGCTGTTTCTAACTTCACTTCCCAGTGTGAGAGGTGGTGTTATATTCTGGTTCCCAAATGGGGCTGCTCTCCACACGACTTCAGCAGCTCCCTGTCTCTTTAAGCAAAGAAAATAATCAAATATAAAAATTAAAACTAGTTCTGCTTTTCATCTGCTTGATCATGCTCCAGGCGTTTTATGGGAGGGGATAAAGGGAAAGAACTAATAATAAAAAAAAAAAAAATTCCAAAACACATTAAACTATCAAATAGGTTGATCCAAACCGTCCAAATAATCTTCTAGTCCCAGCATGTTGTGTGTGGTTTTTTTAATAGAAATTAGGATCATATACTTGTAAATGACTTGTGGAGGAGATGGAGGCAGTCAGTGTAAATGGGGTTCCTCCAGGTGCTGATGGCTAATCGCTCTGTAATAGCTGTGGACTTGCTGTGAGACCCACGTTATTACCATGTAATCAGAATCCTGTTGCTATGCTGTTATTGTCTGCCACTTGTGGAATTTTAAAAGCAATAACAATTTTTGCTTTTTAAATCATGGCATTATTAAAGTTATTTTCTTCCTCTTGCCATGAATATAGTCACTGATGCTCATTTTCAAAGGGCTTAACCTTAGTAAAACATTTCAGTCTGTGCCGAAAGGGGTTGTTTTGTTCCTGGTCTAGCTGAGTTCTTGTTTCTTTTTTGTTCCCCTTATTTTTTTTTTTCCTTTGCTTTTAAATTGGAAAAAGGAAAGGAAAAAGTTCTAGAAAGAGGAGCAGAATTATGAGATCTTAACACTTCAAAAGATCAGCAGTGTGGCAGAGACTGATGGCAGCAGCACTCATTTGAAATGTGGCTTAGTGGGATTTGATTGAGGCAACCAGAATGGAGAGTCTGATTTATTTGAAAAAACAAAGTAACAGCTAGCCTTGGCCACTTCTGCAACACTGACACATCTGCCCTTCGGTCGGGGTTGTCTGTGTGCTTATTGTGCCACAAATCACCCAGGTGCTACATGCTGCTTTGGGTTAGTTCCTTTAAAACTCGTTTTCCATCATTTTCCATGGCCTTAGCATGTCTATGCTGCACTCCCTTCAGAGAGGATCTTTGCAAAAAAGGCCAACTTACTGTGGCAAACAAACAAGAATATTTCCTGCCAGACTTGGACATGACTCTTCTGCTTTACTGGTTAGCAGGGCTCAGCTGGAACATTGTGTTCTTGTGCTTTGGTTACTGACCTCTTCAGATTGAATGTATTTGCTTCTGTGTGCTACTAAAAAGCATCAGATGAGAAATCTTACCTATGAGTGGACTGAAGTGGACTAGGACTTCCAGCATAGATGCAGGAGGATGTGTAGAGCTTTTTCAATCCCTGAGAGACTTTGACATGGTTTTGATGTGCTTTTTATGTGTTATTCTGGTCACCTGATTCCATCCTTGCCTTTTCACAGAAATCAGTCCTGATTGAACATGGCATTCGGAGGCTGACTTTCCTTGTAGCACAAAAGGTATTTGGATATCTCTCATGCTGCTCAGAACTCATTGGTTTCTAGCTCACAATAGCATTGACATTTGATGTGTTTTATTCCCAGATTAAATGCTGTGTTAACTATATTTAGTCCTCCACTGTTTCTGATCTCTAAAATTTGAAATGGTTTTGACGAATTTGCTTAAAATTAATTTACAATTGTAAACAATCTTGGCACCTCTTGTATTCTTGAATTAATTGGTTTTGATTTTCATCCTAATTGCTAGCTTTCTTCTGCTTTTTTTTTTTCTTGTCTTCCTGTGTTTGCATGTTTCGTTTGTAAGGACTTCAGGAAACAGGTCAACTATGAGGTGGATCAGAGGTTTCATGTAAGTAAAACTGACCTAGAACTTGGTGGTATTCTTGACCTGAAGCCAGGAGATGTGTGACTCAGCTTCAGATTTGGGTCTTAGGCATTTAGGCCCAGCGTTGGTGTTGAGTTGAATGAAGTATTTAAACAAACTTCAGATACAGGAGTGGGCCTTGTGCATTCAGTGGGGCCATTCTTAGGCTAAAGTCACCCTTGTTACCTGGCTGGACTCATGACTGCTAAGTTAATAAAGGTCTGGTTTGTTTCTATGTTGTTTTGTATTCTGGAATGTAATTATACAATTAAATGTTTGTGTTTCTTACGTAGCATGGTGATTTCTTCAGGCTTCTTACTGATTATAAAATAACTTAGCAGAGTAATTGAAGAGACTTGCTAAATTTCACATAATGGCTTAGTGATGTGGAGGGTGTTTGATGCTCTTACTGCTAAGAATTACTTGTTTGCCCATGGCTTGGGCATCAGGGAGGGCTGGTTTAGCCCTGGTTTCAAGGTGGCAGTGTAAAGCATAAACCAGATTTTTATCCTTTATCTGTTTTACAACTCTGGCAGCTATTGGGAGTCTTGGAAGTGCAAGAAATTAATCCTGTGCTCAACACAGCTGGTTTAGGAAGCTTTACAATAGGAAAAGTAGTTTACAAATCAGCAGGAGGAATATTTGAGGACATGTGGGTATCACAACCTGGGAATCACTGCTCACAGCACAGCTACAGATAGGTATCAATCAGCTGCTTACATGGGGAACTGGACTCTTTGGAGAGGTGTTGGCACCTTAAGCAAGTCCAGGCTTTAGATTTAAAAAAAAAAAAAAGAAGTTGTAGAGAACTGGATTGGTATTTGGGGAATGAAAAATGAGAGTCTATGAGTGAGCACAGTAGCATGTGCTGGGGGTCAGGAAGGAGGCAAAGGATAGAAGGAGTCATCACCAAGAGCTTTCCCTGGGCTGCTGCTTGGAGCAGTGGCCTGTTGGGCTGCTCCGAGCTCCTAAGCCAGTTGGCATCTGTTTGCAAAGTTTGTAAAGTACCTCTGGGATCTTTTGTGAGTGTCAGCCTTTATTACTAACTCCTATTCTACTCAGTTTATTACTGGACCAACTATTAACTTAGCCAGGGCCTAGGCTTGGGTTTGTTTTTTGTTTTAATTACAGTCTATATAATTAGTTCCCAGCATGTTGAGGTAATAGAGAGTTGCTCCAGCAAGCTTCCAATTTCCTCATCTCATTAGGTTTTTAACATGATTATTAGTATAATAATCAACTCTGATGATTTCTGTTTTAGCTTTCCACATTCTGTGGTTTGCAGGGTGTCTTGATTGGCTAATTTAGGCAAATTATTTTGATTGTCTTGATGATGGTTGGTTGATTAGAACACAGCAGGGGTATAATTCTTCTGCCTAGGAAATGGAGCACTCTTTTGGATTTTGGTACCAGAGCACTGAGAATTTTTGTGTGTGTGCACATCTAATTATTATATTTGCCCACAACACTAGTCAGATGCCTTGAAAGCAATTACATTAGTGATAGAAAGAGCATGGAAGATGTTAGGAGAAATTGGCAGCGTGCAGAGGAGGACAGGTAGGAGGGATTTGGAAGAGAAGTGAGGAAACATGGAAGTGGTTGCTTTTTGAGGGTAGTGCTGATGCCCACAGGCTCACCTGATGTGCCTGTTGCCTCAATCTTCAGGCAGGATTTCTTGTACCACTGGCTAGCCTGGGAGACACTCCAGGCAAACACAAGTTGTTTTTCTCAACTGAGAGTCAACAGGTGAAGTTCTGGGGACTGTTTATTGTAAGAGGTGAGGAAGATTACTAGTTAGAAGATTACTTCTAGCATTAAAAGCTGTGTTGCTTAGTGAAGCCTCATACTCTCACCACACATTGTTTGTTGTACTGTATGGAAAGTGAAGTTTGATTCAGAAATTCAGGGACTGCAGGTCAAATACCTTTTTTTTTTTTAATTAGTAAGATAGTTCTGGCAAGCTGAGTGTTCTCTCTAGGTCCCTGTTAGTATAAATGGTTGGTTTTCTCATGCTGCTACAAAGCATTGACAAAAGTTCCTCCACCCAGTGAGTGTAATTCCACAGGACTGGATGATGGCTTTGCTCAGGTGAAACCAGAGGTGTAGGAAGAGTGATGCTGTCTAGTCCTTCTCTCTTGTTCTAAGACATGTGCAATAAGCCACAAAAATGTAAAGCCCTTACTGTTTGCTAGGATATTTGTGCAATAGAATAACAGAGGAACCTAATCATATCTGGGAGATTCTTGTAGAGTACTATTTAATACGTGAGGATAAAGTTATTTGATTACAATTCATAGTTTTCCTTGAATAGAGTATTTCTAGCAGTAATAGTATGAAGAGAGCTATAGAACAGAGATATTGTTGTGTGTACATCTGCTTACATAATGGAGTTTTAATACCATTGTATGGCTCCCAAACACCTCCACAGTAATCATAGTCATAATAGAACTAGAAGAAATTTCCCACTACTGTCTGGACAGTTCCATATTATTGTCTGTTAATAATTGACAACAGTAATCAAGTAGCTGCTGTTTAAGACAGGTTTAAACTACCTCTGCTGCCTTCTTGAGGGTAACTTGATTTCCTACCACGCTTTGAGATGCTGAAAAAGTAGCTTGTGACAACTTCTGTCCTCTCCTCTGCTGTGGTGCTACCCCAGGTCTGGCCTGTGAGCACTGTCTGAGGAGATCACACAGCTTCCTCTTGGCTAACAGCTTTGGTTTTCTTTTCAGAGAGAGTTTCCAAAGTTCTTCACGTTCCGTGCCCGGGATAAGGTAAGTTGTACAGTCTTGGTACTCCTCTCTCAGTGTTGCCTTTATCCTTCTTTCACAGAGCTGTTCCCTGCCAGCCTAAGAGGGTGGGGGCTGCTTCAGCCCAGCTCCACTGCCTGGTGTGGTGTTTGCTCCTCCCTTGCTAGGCCAGTCTTTTGCACATGCAGCAATGGGTGTCAGAACCATGATCAGTCTCTGTGATCTGGGGATAAAAATTCATGTACTTGGAAGCCTGACCTGAAGCTGCTGTTCATGCAGATTTGAGTTGCAGTGTAACAAGGGAGTGTTGGAAGCAGTGTGGTGATTCAATATCAAGCTTTCTGGCCTCTGAGAAAAGAGGATTTTGGGAGGAGTGAGCTTGAGAACTTGCTGTCTAACAATTTGTCTTCTACTCTTTGGATTTCAGCAATTTCAATGCAGCTTTTAGTGCTAAGGATTCTGCATGAGAGAGAAAAATCTGCTTGGGATTCATTTGAATTTTTAATATTGAATTAAAATAGTGAATTTCATAAGGGGTGTTGTTTAGTTTTCCCATACTCAGTGTTTCAGCTTCTTAACCCACCCTCCTCTTTCACACCTTTCTCTGCCCACGTGCTGCTGGGTGCCCCCAGTTTGAGGAGGACAGGATCTACCGACACCTGGAGCCAGCTCTGGCCTTCCAGCTGGAGCTGAACCGAATGCGGAACTTTGATCTCACTGCCATCCCCTGTGCCAACCACAAAATGCATCTCTACCTGGGGGCAGCTAAAGTTGAAGTGGGAACAGAAGTGACAGACTACAGGTTCTTCGTGAGGGCTATCATACGGCATTCGGATCTGGTTACCAAGGTGAGTCCTGGCACCCTTGCAGGGGCTTTTCCCAGGACAGCCTGTGAAATGCTCTAAGTTGTTCTGGGAACCTGCATGTGAATGTATTATCTGCACTGAGTGTGGTAGCTGAGCCCTCTCCTGGCTCGTGCAGGCTGGGCAGAAGGACATCTTCAAAGACCTGGTACTCTGTGTTCCTCAGAGATTTTTCTGTGGCTAGTTAGAGATCCTTGCATATTGCAGCAACAGCTGTTTCTCTGTGTTTCTCCTGCACTACTGCAGTACTCACAGAGGGATTTGGGTTGGAAGGGACTTTTAAGAACTGTCTAATCCAGCCTCCAAGAAGAGCAAGATTACTTGGATTTTCCCATCCTGATTCTTAAAGCAAAATGAGGCAGGTGGGCAGGTGAAGAGGAAGAGAGGATAACGGGAACATCAGCCAAAACCCAGTGACCATGGCTGAAGTTTATTATTGAAGGAGTATAGATCACAGGCACTGCTGGTGTGGCCTGATGGATTTGCCCTGGCTGGTTTGGGATTTATGCTAACCTGGAGGAAGGCTGAAGCCAGCCAGGTATGTGCATCCAGGCAGTGGGAGCCCTGGCTCCAGGGTTGTGATGGATCCATTCCAGGGTTGCACATCCTACTAAAACTAATGTAACCTATTTTCTCAGTCAAGTCCTTTTGCAGTTTTTCAAACACTGTGTTCTTGGGCTGTGATTTTTGAGTAGAAAGCAAATTATTTATTGACGGTGTCTGGCAGGAAGCCTCCTTTGAGTACCTGCAAAATGAGGGAGAGAGATTGCTTCTGGAAGCCATGGATGAGTTGGAGGTGGCGTTTAATAACACCAACGTGCGCACTGACTGCAACCACATCTTCCTGAACTTCGTGCCTACTGTCATCATGGACCCATCTAAGGTATGGTCTCTTCCCTAGCTCACAGGGAATCAACCAGCCATGCAGTGTCTACTAGTGGTTTTATAACAGAAAGCATGAGAAACTGGGGACCAGTATTAGAAGGGGTAACTTGGAGGTCAGTTTAATTAGTCCACAAGTACTGGAGTTCTGCTTTTCAGTAAAGAAAGGGGAGTCACATAACTAATGGATGTCACTAACTAAAGATGGCTTGTTGAGCTGCTAAACCAATGGCTCTTCAAAAGCAGAGAGAGTACTACTTATTCTAGCTACTTTTGGCAAGGAATTGACTTGCTTCTTGTTTGGAACCTGTTTGCCAGTGAGGAAGGAAGAAAGCTTTGGGTTTTCTTCCAATCTATGAATATTAAATGTAAGATTTCAGAACTAGCAGAGCTCCTGTTTTTGGTGGAGTAAGGCTGTGCTTCAGGCCATGCAACTCACTTCCTCTGTGTAAACTAAGGAACAGTGTATTTAAAAATATGTTTTGTATTGAAACTAAACTTCTTTTTCGTTGTCTAGTTGAGATAATTCTAAGAAGAAATAACTTTAAATGCTTTTCTGTTTGTTACAGAAGTCCAGATTGTATCCAAATAAAATGGGCGATAAATAATGAACTTAAAAAGAATTTGTAAATTCAGCTACAAAAAGAAGTGCCTCATTTTCATTCTCTGATACAAAACCACAGAGATCAATATTATAAATAAATTAACATTAAACTTTGTAGATACATAAAAGAAAGTGTTTAGGCATAAAGCATGTTTCTGGTTAGCAGGACCACCAAAAAGAATGTGCCAAATAAAGTATAAAGGCTGCATTTAGTTGGAAATCAACATTCTGTTCATGGTTACCAAAGGATGAGAGCTGACCTTTCCATATGAGAATAGCTGAAAGTTTAAAAGGATGAATTGGTTATCAAAATAAGTTTCTCTTGCTTGCTGACTTTTAAATCATGATTAAAAATTGGTGGGTTAAATCGCTTTTGAATAAATCCAAAATCTGTAGTTCCCAGGAAGTTCAGGAGAATCTGGGATATTCAGCCCCAGGAAGTTAGGCTGCCTTCAGATGGGCACCATGACTTTTCCCTGAGCTGCTGTGGAAAAGAGACTTTTTATTTTTTGAAAGAATGTTAAAACCAGCCTATAAATTGCCCTCTTTTAATATGCGCTATTTGCCAACAGTAGTATATTATAAAGTTTAATAGAACAGCAGAAGGCCAAGCTCTGAGCAGTAATTGCTTTGCTGATTTAGAGCACGGTGCCACGTGCACAGTGAAACATGATCATTGTGCAGAGAAGTGCTACAAAACTGTTTGTCAAGGATTTGGCTTCCCCAGGTTCTGTGGTTCTTGACCACGAGCCCTGCCCGCGGGAGGGGAGGCAGCTGGGGGGGAGCGGTGGGCACGCTGCACCTTGCTGGGGCATGATGTGCCATGGGGAAACAGGGATGGGAGCCCAGTGCCATCCAGCTACCTCAGTAGTGCCCAGGTTGAGTTCAGCTCCTCTCCCAAGGCTCGTTGGGGTGAGGACAGAGAGGCCACCGAGAGCCCAGGACAGCACCGGGCGCGTGCTGCCCTTCGGCGCTTCTGCCTCTCCTGCTCCGTGATGCTCCCTCTGAACGTGGGGGTGCCCCTCTGAGCGGGAGGGTTGGAGGGTGGCCAGGGGCTGGGTGTGTCCAGAGGGGTGAGGGGAATGCCTGTGGTGTGTGTTGAGATCGAGGAGTCGGTGAGGTCCATGGTGATGCGCTACGGGAGCCGGCTGTGGAAGCTGCGCGTCCTGCAGGCCGAGCTGAAGATCAACATCCGCCTGACGCCCACGGGCAAGGCCATCCCCATCCGCCTCTTCCTCACCAACGAGTCGGGCTACTACCTGGACATCAGCCTCTACAAAGAAGTGACAGACCCCAGGACAGCACAGGTACGGTGCCACGTGGCTCCAGGGTGTGCCCAGCAGATCAGAGGGGGGCACGCCCTGCCCGGCGCAGCTCTCCTGAGATCAACATCCGCCTGACGCCCACGGGCAAGGCCATCCCCATCCGCCTCTTCCTCACCAACGAGTCGGGCTACTACCTGGACATCAGCCTCTACAAAGAAGTGACAGACCCCAGGACAGCACAGGTACGGTGCCACGTGGCTCCAGGGTGTGCCCAGCAGATCAGAGGGGGGCACGCCCTGCCCGGCGCAGCTCTCCTGTGGTTTGCAGGGTTTTCAGGGAATACAAAGCTGCCATTCCACTTTGCCAAGGGAAGAAGGGCATAAAGATAAACTCTGCAGGTCAAATACCTTGTGTAAAATGGGATCTGTGGTGTAAAAACACTAATTGGTTTGTGTGCACCTTCCATCATTTGTACATGTTTTCCTCTGTGGCACAGTGCAAAGTAATAGGAAAGTAATCATTGTTGGTCCTCATCCTCTAGGTCATGATAAAAAGTAATATTAATTACACATTTCTCTGAGTAGATAGAGAAAATCTGTGAACTTAACATTTTAAATTCTAAAGATACAGGGAATGACCTGAGTAGGATGATATAAAATTACTGAAGGTGCTTTTATATCATTTTTATGAAGCATAATGGGCTCTTCTGTAATGGTTGTGGCTATTCTGGAATTTCAGCTTTTCACAGCACAGGAATAGTGTGGTTAACTGAAATAGCTACATATGCTAAAATACATGGAGCATAGGATGCATGGAAAATATTTAAATACAGAAATGTTTGCATCTCCCTTTGTAATGATCTCTCTGCCATGCAGTAGTAGCAGCAGAATAAATCACTTGGGCACTGTTGGTGTGGAAAGCAAAGTGCTGAGTCACCTTTTCTCCCCCTCTTCCCCATTTACATTTTTCCAGCGAGCTGCCTGGTCGTTCAGTCCCTCCAGTCCTGGAGATCCTAGGGCAGATAGTGTCTGTATGTTTTACTTCATTCCTGCCTTTGAGGAGAGATGAGGGAGGAAAAGAACATTTTAATGCTCTCCAGTAGCTGCGCTTAACACCTGGGTTTTGTTAGTCATTTGTGAAGGTCACCTTTCCACTTCAACTCGGTCTCTGATGAGCTTTACTTTTTAAAGCCAGGGGAATGAACTTGTGTGCATATGGCTTTTAGCAACTTTTCCAATGTTTTGTTTTTTTCTTTTTTTAAATGTAATTTTTCTCCCCAGGATATTAAACCTGATTCTAGTAAAATCACACAGATAGGCTTTATTTCAATCAACTCTTTGAGTAGCTGGGAGGAAGATTTGCCTTACAAAGCTTGAAGGTGTTAGTTTTTTAAGAAACTGATAAATCTGCCTCCTCATGAGAGAGGTTTATAGGATGGGTTCAGATCTCTGTATTTTTTCCTGTGTTTTCAAAGGGATATTTTGAACTTAGAGAATTCCTTTAAAAGAATTGAAACATTACAGATGTACTGGTGCTGGGCACTCTGTGACTTCTGAAGAGTGGAAGAATAGATTCATCATGAGAACAGGACTCTGATCTCTTGTTTCACAGATTCTGTGGTAGTGACTGGTGATACTCAGCACAGGTTTCTCCTGTTTCTCTGAAGCTTTCCAGAGATTTAAAGAGAATTGGGCCACTGAATAAATATTTTCCCATTGAACTAAGCGACGGTTTTGAAGACTGAAGAGAGCGTGAACTCCTATTTTTAGTCTAAAACCCAAACTAGGCTTTACTTACTGATTTTTTTTTTTTCTTTAGTGGAGTGCTTCAATTAATCTGTCTTCAATTAGAAACAGATCTGCTGTTAAGAACAGCCCAGTGGTGCTGGCTCTGCAGGCACGTCTCCGTGGAGCAGTGGCTGTGCCGGGCTGCCCGGTTAAGCAGCGCTCCTCCCGTTCCTCCGTTGAAATAGATTTCCTTCCCAGTCCTGGCTGAGCAGAATATATAGTGCCATGAAGCATGGCAGCTGGTAATTCATGTTGCTGCTCTGGGAAAATCTTTTAAACTTATAATATCAAAACTTCAAGCCAAATGACATATGCAAGTCTTGACCTAGCTTCCATGATCAGTCAGTGGAGACGCGGATAGCGCGCTGCTCGGCTGCATAAATAACAGAGCTCTCCTCTTGCTCCCAGCTCTCACAATCCATCGGCACAGGTACGGCGTCAGGGGAAATACTGGGGAACGTGAAGTCATCTAAGTCACAGGCTTTTTTTCTGTGGGGATGTGGCTTTGCTTCCTGCTGTGATGTGGCAATAAGTCAGTGATACTCAGATCCGTGCGGTAATGGTCCGGCTCTGTCTCCAAAGGGCAGTAACGGGTGATGAAGCACGAGGGTTACAGGATACACGAGTGTGAATGTGCTTGTAGAGAGCAGAGACAAGCCTCATCAGTCTGGAATGTCCCCATGATTTTTGGTAAAATCTGAATGAGATGTGCCTATGGATTAAGCAGTAACTGGTCGTGTTTTGTGCTGCAGATTATGTTCCAGGCGTATGGGGATAAACAGGGACCACTTCATGGGATGCTGATCAATACCCCGTATGTGACCAAAGACCTGCTGCAGTCCAAGAGGTTCCAGGCACAGTCTTTAGGAACATCATATGTCTACGACATTCCTGAGATGTTTCGGCAGGTAAGTGGGTCGGTTGACTTAAAATTTTACACCTGCAAAACACTTCTATCAGTTTTTGTCCTTGCTTGACAAGGAAACAAGTGGCCTAGAGTGGGTGACAGAGATTCTGCAGGGCCTGTACAGCTATGGATTGAGGCTACTTTGGAAGAAATTAGGACTCTAGAGACACTGCTGCTGTAGTTCCATTAGTGAGTCAGATGGGAGAAGCTGAAATGTGAACCATCTTCCAGTTCTTGTTTGTGTCTCTGTGTTCTCCCACCCTGTTATCTGACCTTCCTAGAGGGTTAGGCAGTGCAGGGGTGATAGTTCCTAGGAATGGACTCATACCTCACTGGATAGGTGAATGAGTTGCAGAATTTAGTGTGCATCTGGTTTGCTGGGCTTTATCCTGGATCACATAATTTGAATAGCACTACTTTGGGTGAAACTGTGTTTCATGGTTTAAATTCCAAAGTAAATGATACTGACTGAATATTGCCAGTCAGTCAAGAGGGATATTTCAGAGTGTTCTGTCTTTGAGTATTAAGTCACAATGGATTGAGTAAAAATATTTGCAGATGGTGTTCTTAACAAGAATGTCTCTTTCCATCATCTAGTCTTTGATTAAGCTCTGGGAGTCTATGAATGAACATGCATTCCTGCCAACACCACCGCTGCCTTCCGACATCCTGACGTACACCGAGTTGGTGCTGGATGATCAGGGCCAGCTCGTGCACATGAACAGGCTGCCAGGAGGAAATGAGGCAAGTTACACTTTCTTTAATGCTACTTTTCTTCCCATGTCCTGCGGTGCATTCTGTTTTGGACTAGGTTTGACAATTGTAATGAAAATTTACCAGCCAGGCACAAAATCTATTCATTCGGTCTTTCACAGATGAAATCTCTCTCTTGAAAATGGGATTTTTGTTTCATTAAAAATTAATACCTTCCCTACAATGGGTATTTTAACCTCCCTAGTAAATGATGATTCCATTTCCAACCTGTGCCTGTGCGGTTTTCCCTTCATAATTAAAAAGTGCTCATTCAGCTATTCCAGGTAGCTGGGGTTTGTATTTGAGCAAAATATGTTTTACAAGACTAAATAGAAATGTTTTCATTTGCTTAAAAAAAACCCTGAAAAACCAATTTTATGCTTTCCATTGAAATACAGGCAGTGTGTGTGCAGCAGGCTGGCAAGGTGTGTGCAACATCCCCCTCTAGTGAAGGATTTACTCGAGTCTAACGACCTGGAAATGCTGTCAGGATGCTAGAGTTACTCAGGCAGGAGAAAGCTGAACTGGTGTGGTGGCTTTTCCTGGTGTGTTACGTTAGCCACACAAGGACTGCAGCATTGAAGTGACTGGAGAATAAAGCTGACTAGTAGGTGTGGGGTTTGGTTTGGTTTTTTGCCTAGGCTAGGTTGGGATTTGGTGAGTGAGCATTCCTACAGTAATTTAAATTTGAACAGTTCAATGTGGTGATATAATTAATTTTTTCTTTTTTTCACTGCACTAGCAATGTCCTTTTACTAGTTCTCTAACTTAGGGTTTGGAAAAGCTCTGTACAAAACCATCCAATTACAGTGATGAAAGGAAATAGGGGATTTCGTCACTATTTACTGCATGTATCTTGTCAGGGGAAGATTTTGCAAATGATGTTTTCAAATGGAACCTAATCAGTAAATGGTGGCTATGGGAGCCCTGTGTCCTTGTCTTTTGTTGGCCTACAGGAGAAATGTTTTAACTAGTATAATTAAACCTGAAATGAGCTGTTCCCTGCGTTCTCAGTGAAAGCTGAGGCTGTGGTTCTGTGGAGGCTTATGCCATCATCTTTCTCTCTTTCTCTGCTCTCATTCAGCGTTTGAGTGGATGGTGGCTGGGGAAATAGCAAAGTCCCTCAGGGACGTAGCTCTGTTCTTGCTGAAATTACAAGCACAGAGCTGCCTGGGCATGAACATGTAGTGTTTACTCTGCCAGTATGAATACAAATAGTCTTATTATAAGGGATTCTGTACCCAAAGACCACCAAAAAAAAATTAGGAGGTTTTTTTTAACCCTTGGTAGTCTTAGTTGTGCTCAATCTGTAAAGAAATTACAGGGTTGTTGTGATGTGCATCGTGTTGTTACCTAGTGCATGGGTTCAGGCCCTGCCTCTGTGGCTGTTACACCCAGGGGCTCTCACTGGAAAATGAGGTAAAAGGGGGAAAACATGATATTCCCCTGAATTTGTTTTTCAGTCTGGGTGCTGAAGATTGCTTCTTGTGGAGATCTGTGGCAGACTCTAACCTGCCTTTTAACGACTTCCCAGAAGTGAGGTGAGGCTGCTGGTGGCAGGGGTGAGATCCCAGCCAGGGCTCGGTGTCACCCCGGGGACGTGCTCTGTGCCACCCTGGGCAGGCTGCAGCTCCAGCTCCTGGGGTGGAACTGCCAGCCTGGCTGTGGGCAGCTGGATGGGTGGCTGTAGGACCATTTGCAGCTGGAATGAGGTTGGAGGCTTTGGGATTGAATTCTGTTACCAATTGGCAGGGCGCACAATAGCGCTCATTGAGTGGTGAGAGCAGACGGGCTGGGGAGGAGGCTCCAGCAGCTCCTGAAGGATGGGTGACATTCAGGAGGTGACAAGCTGCTGAGCAGACTCATCCCTCGTTGCTGCTCTTCCTTTATCTGGGGGAGCTGACTTTAGGCTTTCATGGTTTAATTCTGTTCAGCTGAGGAAACAAATTCTCCCAAACGTGCGTGGTCAAGTTTCTCTTTCCACAGACAGTGGCTGCAGGGGTGGAGAAGGGAGAGACAGGATGCTCGAGAAATTCAGAGCATAAGCCTTGCCTTTGTTAAGGGCTCTAAGTGGATCCATTCTGCTTTTTTTGAGAATCAGTCTGCATAGCATCTGGGCAGAGAAATACAGCATCTTATCTGCCAGGAAGCAAAGATCCTTGGGGTAATCCATCTCTGTGGCAGTAGCTGGGAGTATTGCACAGGAAGAGGAGACAAGCCACAAGGAGCAGGAGAAAATATTAATTGGTTCAGTGCTTCTTCCATATCATACGATGGTGAGCTGTTCTCAAAATCTGGCACACTTCCCTGGCTCTCCAAACTTGTCTGGATTTGTTAGGGAAGAGTTTTGTCCTCAGATAGATGTGTTTGACTTCAGAATGCCAGAAGCCCATGCACTGAGAATCATGTCAGAGGGAGATGATCCCTCAAGAAAAGGGTGCAGCAGGGAAGTTGAGTTGCCAAGCTTTGCAGTGGCTGGCTTGGTAGCCTGAGTCAAAGCTTTCACCACTGTAGTTTGTTCATGTCCTCATCAGATGGGACTGTCTTGGGGTGTCATGAGGATAGAGTCTTTGTAGTTGCTAAATAAATGCTGGATATTGTTACACAGCATTCCCCCAGTCTTGATGGTCAGTGCTGGTGCGTCAGTGCTGGTGGAGTCTGTCCCCCAGGGAGCTGACAGACAGGAGTGCTTGGGAGGACTTGCCAAGTAAATATGATTTAAAAAAAAACTTCCCCCTTTGTTCCCAATGACAGTTGCTGATTTTCTGAATCTAAAGTCTTTTGAGAGATTATTGGTTTTTGCCAAAGAGGAAATTTCTGTTGAAAACTTCTGGTTGTGGTGAACATAGCTGCTGTTTAGTGCATTTAGGTTCCTGTCACTGCTCTGCTCAGTTTAGGTCAGAGATCCCAGCCCAGGGGCCATTCCCCCACTGCAGGTCAGTGCCTCGCCCTGCTGGGACTGGCTGTGCTGAGGCAGGGCTTGTCTTTCCTCTTGGAGCTCTGCTCCACAGTATGAACAATTAGGTTTTTTCTATGTGAAAAGGGGTCAAGATGCACTTCCTCTTAGAGCATTCAGCTGAGCTGTGTGCCCTAATTGTTTTAGCTAGCAGGTGAAATAGAGAAACCAGCATAAAATCCAGGAGATCTGTGGTCAGTGAGTTCAGCTGCATGTCAACAGCAGAAGCTGCAATCCCTGCTCTGATACAGGGCAGAGCAGGAGCTCGATGCTGAGTTTCTCTTGTCCTCTTGGAGTCTGCAAACAGCAATCTGGACTAAGCTGGCTACATTTTCAGGAAAATATGTGAAATAGGAGTTCTTGAGAACTTCCACAATACAAGAGGGTTTTTTTTCTCTGCTTAGCTTGTGACCACTTCACGTAGCCCACCACCTTATTTGCCAGTAATTATCTCTTTGCTGGAGTCTCAACAAAGCAGCCAAAGACTTAATGGACCGTGAAAATACAACTTGCTGTGTGTTCCTAGACAGTGCTTGCTCCTGAGCAGAGGCTCCTGGCTTCTCACAGCCACGTGAGGGAGCCTGCAGTGTTGCTGGCCCTGCAGCCCACTCTTGGAGTGCAGGAGACCTCTCTGACAAGGGCCTTTTTCCAGCCTCTTGTCCACCCAGTGCAGCCAGTTCTTCCTGGAGGGCATCTGCTCTTCCTCTGGACTGCAGACAGAATCCTGGATGTTGCCTGGAGCTTTCTACTGGATGGTTTCTGCTCTGGGTCCTTCCTCTTAAGCTTGTGAACTGGGTCCTGGTCTATAGTGACTGTTTGTTTTGGGTTTTGGGGTTTTTTTTGAGTGGTCTCTATTCCTAGGCTGGCTGCTTTGACACCTCTGCTCGTGTGAGACTGCTCTGATGAGCTCTGTCTGCTACTGCAGACCTTCAGTAAGCCTTGACAAGACTGAATGTGCCACACTAAAAAGTTGAGAAGAGTCTGTATGTAATCCTCAGAGCCAGGAGGTACAGGAGGGAGCTGAAGAAGAGTATTTTATCAGCAAAATCAAACACCAGTCAATAGCTCCCTTCTAATGCTCCTGAGTAAAGACTGCATAGACTTTGGGGCAAATGGGGTATAATTTATTGTACAGCTGTGAGCATATCAAGAACTAAGCACCAGAGGGGGATGCTCAGCCTGACTTCAGCCTGACCCTTGAGATAGACACAAACCATTGAAATGCACAGAGTTTATATAGGTGGGAGGAAAAAAATCCACTTGTAGTTATTTGTAATCTTATGCATTTTACTCTAAAATATCCTTAAGAAGAAAATTTCAAGTTCATACCACAGCCTGTGTGTGTGTATCAGTAGAAGCCTTTTCTTTTCAGTGGCACAATCTTTGGTGTTTCTGGCTGAGATCTTCACTGTGCATGTGGGGCAGAGGGGTGTTTGGAACTTTCCAAACTAACACTGGGAGGACTGGGTTTGAAGTCTGCAGCACCTCACCCTCTTTGGCAGGGTGAGAGGAGCTGATGTTGTCCTCTTTTGCCCCAGCAGCTCCCCTCTGTCCTGCCTGTTGTCTAAGCCTCTGGGGTTGCTCTGTGCTTATGTGGCTATGCCAAACTGGGGGGCTCTCTGCAAGAGCCAGAAATGGTGTGAATCTGTTGAGGTGAACAGGGCTGGAGTTCAGAACCATATGGCAACTCACATGATATTTAAAAACGTGCTGGCTGCTGTAGCCCTGCTGAAGACATGACCTGTAATGTAGTGACACCCTCTTCAAATGCCCCTTGAAGACTGCTTTGTTCTGAAGATTAGCATATTAGCTGAAATCTTAGTGTGAAAAGGTAATTCCCTCAGCCTTGGAGAACTCAATATATTGCTTGTCATTCCTGAGCTGGGCATTTTGGTGTTTTTCTATAGCACTTTGTTTTTTTGACTACAATGTACCATGATTCTCTGGCAGTAGGATGGCACCAACCACAATCTGCAAGGAGAAGGAGAAAGTGAGTGTGAGGAGCCCAGCAGCAACACCCCACACTGCCCTTCAC